TTATGTGTATGTTGTGTACATTTCCTCTGCAGTTTCTGGGGAGCACTCCATAAACAAATACATAATGTTTTCACAACAGAATTAATGAATATTTACACCTAGTCCCACTAATACATTCTATTAATTGCCTCATGTAAATTCAGAGCATGTGTTCCTGCTAAATAAGTTCATTTAAAAAATATTTACTTTGAGCTTTGGTATGACAGAAATGTATATAGATATTCTGGTGGGTAGTAATATTTTGTTGCGTGTATTTCAAAAAATGAAATAGTGGAGTATAACGCATACAGAAAACTGTGCAAAGCACAAACTGACCACCCAAGAAATTATTGGGAACCAATCACCTATGTACCACTACCCCGATTTAGAAGTAGAACATTGATTGTCCACAGGTCTCAAGCTTCTTTTGTGTATTCTGCTAATTATTACTTTTCTCTCCTCAAAGTAAAATAATCCCTGTCCTCCTTGTAACATTTAATTTTAGTTTAGCCTGTTTTCGAACTTTATGTAAATAAATTCATACATTATGTATTCTTCAGCTTCTCTTGTTCAATATTTTACTCTTTTAGATTCATCTACGTAGCTATATGTAGTGGTCGTTTGTTCATTTCCATAGCTGCGAGTAGCTTCATTGTATGACAATATTACACGTACTCATGCAATTTATTGTTGAAGGAACAGTTGGCTATTTGGCTATTAGGAATAATGTTGCGATGATCATTCTTGTATGTGTTTCTTAGTACACACATGCATTCCTTTGTGTTGTGTGCATATCTAGGAGTGGAATTGCTGGGTTCCAGAATGTTCACGTCCTCATTATACAATGTCAAACTGACTTCCAAAGAGATCATACCAAATTGCACTCTACCAGCAATTTCTGGCACACCACAACCTTGCTAACACTTGGTGGCTTCAGCTTTTTTCACTGTAGTCATTTTGGTGTGTGTGTTTTGGGGGGGTGTCTTCTGATGGTTTGATTTTTTTATTTCAGTGATTAATAATGAGATCAAGTATCTTTTATATACTTATTAAAAATTTTAATTTCCTAATTTTGAAATCACTTTTTAAAATGTTCATTTTTCCATTTAGTTATCCATTCTATTCTAATTTATAAAACTATTTAAATATCCTTGATACTAGTCCTTTGTTGATTATATATACTAGAAATATTTTCTCTGTTTGTGGTTTGTCTTTTTCCTCTTTTAAAACAGTGCTGTTTGCTAAGTAAATAGCACATACAGAAAACAGCAC